CTGTTATCTGTTTTTTTCATTTTAGCAGCTAAATCTATACCCACATTACTAAAAAAATTTACAAAAGTATTAGCAATTTCCACAGAGTTAGTGATCTTCACATCATGTTCGATTAAGTAGTCTATATCTTTAGATGCCTTTACATTTTTACCTAACATAATTATTTTTTACCTTTTTACATAATTCCATAAGTCTTTACTACAATTAGATTTACTATTTATCGAATTACTCTCATAATTACACTTAGTAATTTTTATAACTTTGTCCAGTTTTTTACAGTAAGTATTGTATTTGTTTTTAGTTCTATATTATCTTTATTTTTTTTTCATTTATTATATAACTTCTCTTTAGTACGACATGACTTCATAATGCCAATCGTAATCCAATTTTTACGCTGTTTAAATTTACGATTGTTGTGTTTTGATTTTACATGAGCATTTTTTATCAAATTTTGTATTTTAGCTATGAGACTATTAGTAGCAATATTTGGATCCTGTATATTTAATGTCTTCCCAAAGTACATTTTTACTATTTTTCTTCAGCATTTTATAACTCAGATAACTCTTAGGTTCTTTATGATGTAATAATTTATGCGTATTTAATGACAAAAACAAAATATAATGATCAGTGATCATTTGTTTATATGTAATTGATTTTACGTTGGGAATATTTGTTTTAACGAACATATTATCTATACATGATCCATCCTCACTATAAGGTACATAATTCATATCTAAAACACTTGATAGTAGTAGATCTGAGTGATAGTCTATATCATTTAAATTTATATTGAAGTCTCCAACTAATATATGATTTTTAATCTTAGAATTAGTATCCATGTATATTTTTAAATTATTAATAAATTCATCCTTAGGGATGTCATGACATCTGTACATTCCAGTTACCTTTAAATTTAAATTATTGTTAATACTTATACATGTAGAGAGAAAATTGCAACACCCGATAGTATCTACGGATGTGGAATGTAAAACTATAATAAAAAAATTCACTGCATACCGGTAATGTTAAAAACTACTAAAAGCGCGATAAATCAATCTCTAAACACGCCAGAGATATTAAATTTTATCTCTGGGATAGTATGAGATGACTTTATAGGAACTGCGTTCCAAATAAGACCCATAGCTTGGGACTTAACCGATTTCAACCAAATTCGGTACATATTATTCTTCTTCGAAATCGGAATACAAACACGCTGATTTCCTATATAACACCATTTTAATTTCCATCTGACGTGAAAAAAATTGACGTCTTCGGGAAGTTAACACCACCAATATCCCAAATCGCTTAGCCTTTCAGTAAAAAAAAAACAAGAAAAAACGTTAACTTCGGTTGGACCGGAACTATTATGCCCTTCACAGAACTTGCTTCCGCTCGTTCAATTTTTAAAGCAGCTATATGATATAGTGATCTGATCTGAACAATTTCTTCGGAAATTGCATTATTGCCTTAGACAATAACCCCACCCACGCCAAATTTCGTTAAGATATTACGTTAAATAAAAACGTTTCGAATTCAAGTATTTGATTACGATCGTTCAGTTTGTACAGCAACTATATCATATAGTGATCTGATTTGAACAATTTCTGGGGATATTACATTTTTGGCTTAGACAATAACTTATGCCTAATTTCGTGAAGATGCCTCGTCAAATGAAAAATTCTGATCGTCTCGTCATTCTGATCATTTATATATACATAACCCTATATCTAACTCTATTATTTTTAGGTTATATAAAAACCGTTAGGTGAACAAAACTATTATACAAACAGTCGCTTAATTGGCTTTATAAGTTCACAAAATATTTTTCAATGCCTCTAAATCAAAACAAAAACATATTTGACAGTTTGTCGAAGTTCACAATAGCATAATCGAAACTAAAACAATTTTTCGTTCCTATGAAAATAAAAATACATGTGATTGATTTATTCACACGAAGTTTACAATAAGGCTGAATATCTCTTTAGAACCCATACCTCAAAAAAAAAACTTTGACTTGAATACACAAGTCCACTTGGTTACCTTCAATCGAGCCTTTCTGACAAAAAACGAAATTCACAACTTATATTTAATCGTTAAAAATGCGCATTACTGTATGATGGAGATAATAAAAAGTTTCTCCTTGTAAACCATGATTAGATATAGACATACCATATATTATATATTAGGTAAAGTAAAAAGTTCGTTCGGTTTTTTTTATTGATTTTTCAAAAGATGATAACTTTGTGTACATTTTTCCGACTTAAGTCAAATATGCGCCGTTTTGTTCGTAAACTTGTTGCCAACGAGATGCCAACTTCATTATACCCCTCTCGTAGAAGACTGCGTCCCTATTGCCAAAAAATTCGGAGAGCCAATTTTCACAGGCCTCTCTTGAGGCAAACTTCTCACCATTATACCATATTAGCGTTCGCCATGGACAGGAAAAAATGGTAATCACTTGGTGCCAGGTCCGGACTATAAGGTGGGTGCATTAGAACCTCCCATCCGAGCTCCAGGAGCTTCTGGCGAGCCACCAAAGACGTGTGTGGCCTGGCGTTGTCCTGATGGAACACAATTCGGCCTCTGTTGATCAAAGATGGCCTCTTCTGGATGAGTGCTGCCTTCAAGCGGTCCAGTTGTTGGCAGTAGAAGGCCGAATTGAGCGTTTGGCCATAGGGGAGCAGCTCGCAGTAGATGATTCCTTGCCCATCCCACCAAACACACAGCAAAACCTTCCTGGCCGTCAATCAGGTCTTGGCCACCATCTGGGCCGCTTTCCCGAGCTTTGACCACGACCGTTTGCGCTCGATGTTGTCATAAGTGACCCATTTTTCATCGCCAGTCACAATCCGCTTCAGAAACGGGTCGATTTTGTTGCGATTCTGCAGCGATTTGCAGATGTAAATTCGGTCCATCATGTTTTTTGCGTTAGTTCGTGTGACACCCAAACACCGAGCTCCTTTTTGAATCCAAGGTTATGCAAATGGTTCCAAACGGTTTTCTGGCTTATCTTTAGTACCTCAGCAATTAAATAAGTGCTCACGTGACTGTCTGTTTCCACTATTTCCATGATTTTATCGCAATTTTCGACGACAAGCCTCCAGACGCGTGGTGCATCTTTGACATCGAAATTACCGGAACGGAACGTAGTAAATCATTTTTGTGCTACACGTTCGTTTACAGTATCGGGCCCATAAACTAAATTAATGTTTTCAGCCGCTTTGGCTGCTTTTTCGCTTTAATCGAAGAAAAATTGTAAAATAAAGCGAATTTTCTCTTTGTTGGTGTCCATCTTTGACGAGCGCTCACAACGAACTGAGTAAATCAATCGAAAAACTGTCAAAGACAAACTTTTAGCGCGAATAAACACGTTTTCAGCGCCGTATAGTATGACATGATGCGACACGTAACACTAGTACTATGGACAATAACGCCATCTCTTAGATAAAAACCGAACGAACTTTTTACTAATATTTTGCTCTCTTTTGTTTGATTTGAAAAATCGTGCATTTTTATACCTTTGAATGTACATATATTATGTATATTAGAGTTAGTCTTTAATTTAAATTGAACTCTTGCTTTCAGTTTCATAATAATAAATATGAACGAATGTATTTTTGGATCGATTCGCGTTATGCTAAGTACAACTTCATTACTTGAGAAATCTCATATTCCAAATATTATGTACGTATGGTATAAATTAAACGGATAAGGACGGTAATCTTTATATTGGGTGCATGGTGGACAATGAAAGTGAGTTCCAATTTAATTAGTGGTAGTATTAGTATTTATTATGAAGACCTTACTTCATTTCATTCATTATTTCTTATAAATATTTTGATTTTACACCCTCATTAATGCTTCAGTTTGCTATCATAAAGCAAAAAAAGTTGACGGGATTCGTTGGCTTTTTATGGGAAGTTGACTTGGTGTCTATTTTGATAGTATAAACCGATTTCGCTTCAATTGGTTAAGTATATTTTGTGACGCTGTGAGATCTTCTAATGAAATTCGGAGAACATCATTTCCTGATAACAACGTCCCCTTGTGCAAAAAATTGGTAAACATAACTACAAAATTCGAACATAACTACTTTAAAGTCAACTACTTTATACCGTTTATGTCGGCTAATATGTAAGTTAAGTATATCTTAGTTAAGCTAAGTCAACGTAGATCCTTGGATATACTATAGTTTAATGTTGAAAATATGTGCAATTAGTCTACGAATTTCTCCAGCTCCCATATATGACATATAATGATTTTGTTATTTTAGCAGACTTTAGGTCGAATATATCGGGCAATGTGAGTTATATAATAAAATGAAAAAAGTTTCAAGCTTGCATTAGTTTAATGCAATCAGAGCAGATACAATAATGAAAGTACATGATAGATATATATTGTAATATAAGTCAGTAAAATACCACATATGATTGCAACTCATTCAAGGTTTCCACGAATAATGAATATTGGATTCATTCGCAACATTATTTAATATAAAGTTTTATTAACACATGAAGATATATTAAATAATATAAATCCTTTGGTTGAACGGATATTACATATGCATATGTGTATACGTATATGAAGCAAAATGAGGTACCAAACATGATTGTATTCTTTTTACGTTTCCATCGAATAATAAATATTGAATTCTTATGCAGCATTTTTATATTCTCGCAACATGTTGTTACAGACCAAAAACTAATCGATATATGTAGATATACAGTTATATAATATATACATATATAAATGATCAGGATGACGAGATGAGTCGAAATCTGGGTGACTGTCTCTCCGTCTATCTGTACAGGCTGTAACTTGTGTAAAAATTCAGATATAATATCTTGTTGAATACATGTTTCTTTGCACCATGAGAAGGTTGGTGTTGCCGAAAGGCGGAGTCGCGCCATTGCCACGCACACAAAACGTCATTATTCGAAAACTTGTAAAGTGTCATAACTAAACTTTTAAAATTAAAAAAAAAGGTTTAATGTACCTACCACTTAAGCTAAATCATCCAAAATTGCTCACGACAAATCTTTTCCGTACACAGTGTAAAAATGGGCGAATTCGTTTTATATAACCAGGTTTCCATGCAAGCACTTTACTCCGACCGTTCATTTAATATGACAGATTCTGTTCAGGGTATAATTAAGTGAACGTATAAAATGGATAAAATTGGTCAACGATTTACGCCAGCCACCATACCATATACTACATATGCTGATTTTCATTATTATAGCAGACTTTATGCTCTTCTCTTTATAAAATGGCATGGAAACATAGTACCGAATATACTTGAGTAATGTCACAAGTTAACGCAATCCTTCCAGACCTTCTCCTAGCCCAAATACACCCGATAATATGATTTCTTACTTTCCAAAAGGCGTTGGGCCGTTTATGTTCAAAGTTTTCATAAACATAATGTGGTTTAGGGAAATTGCTCTAGACCGTCTTTTAAGCTCTTTCTAAATGATTTCCGTTTAATTGGTTTTTTTTCTCCTTATGTACCTAATATATAATGTTAAATTTAGCCTCTTTGTTGAGTTCATATCACATATGTATGTATAAAATGTTCGGTTACACCCGAACTAATCCCTTTCCTACTTATTTATGTTTGCTTGCATGCACACTTTCATAATTTACGTTGTGAGTTAGGTACAGATTTTGGACACAAATTTCAACAGATTATCTGTAAAAAAAGCTCCAACTAGATTAAAAAATCAACTATGAAATAAAGGTATGTATGTATAATATAAAAGCTATCCTTTTATAATAGGCGTTTCGTCACCCGTCAGCATATAAAATTCGCACGTTCCGCCATCCATTAGCATAATAATTGTGTATTAAATAATAAAAAAACTAGTAAAGGTCACAATGGTAAATCGTTATACTTGGCGTTTTCTCATGTTTTTATTTATTATGTGAATTACAAAGTATAGTTTTTGTTACGTAAGATTTTGCTTCGCACAGTAATTGTGTGAATATTTTGTTTTTGTTTGCTTATGGTATTTGTATTTCCTATCTATGCACGTAACAATTTTTTATATTATATATTAGGTCAAGTAAAAAGTTCGTTCGGTTTTTATCTAAGAGATGGCGTTATTGTCCATAGTACTAGTGTTACGTGTCGCATCATGTCATACTATACGGCTATAACGGAAAACGTGTTCATTCGCGCTAAAAGTTTGTCTTTGACAGTTTTTCGATTGATTGACTCAGTACGTTGTGAGCGCTCGGCAAAGATGTACACCAACAAAGAGAAAATTCGCTATATTTTACAATTTTTCTTCGATCAAGCAGTCAAAGCGTCTGAAAAAATTAATTTAGTTTATGGGCCCGATACTGTAAACGAACGTGTAGCACAAAAATGGTTTGCTAGGTTTCGTTCCGGTAATTTCGATGCCAAAGATGCGTCCCGCGTCGGGCTTCCCGTCGGCGAAAATTGCGATAAAATCATGGAAATAGTGGAAACAGACCGTCACGTGAGCACTTATTTAATTTCTGAGGAATTAAAGATAAGCCAGAAAAAAGTTTGGAACCATTTGCATAACCTTGGACTGAAAAAGAAGCTCGATGTTTGGGTGTCACACGAACTAACGCAAAAAAACATGATGGACCGAATTTCCATCTGCGAATCACAACAAAATCGACCCGTTTCTGAAGCGGATTGTTACTGGCGATGAAAAATGGGTAATTTATGACAACATCGAGCGCAAACGGTCGTGATCAAAGCTCGGGGAAGCGGCCCAGATGGTGGCCAAGACCGGATTGACGGCCAGGAAGGTTTTGCTGTGTGTTTGGTGGGATTGGCCAAACGCTCAATTCGGCCCTCTACTCCCAACAACTGGACCGCTTGAAGGCAGCACTCATCCAGAAGAGGCCATCTTTAATCAACAGAGGCCGAATTGAGTTCCATCAGGACAACGCCAGGCCACACACGTCTTTGATGACGCGCCAGAAGCACCGGCAGCTCGGATGGGAGGTCCTAATGCAGCCATTTTATAGTCCGGACCTGGCACCAAATTATTACCATCTTTTCCTGTCCATGGCGAACGCGCTTAATAGTGAGAAGTTGGCCTCAAGAGAGGCTTGTGAAAATTGTTACTCCGAGTTTTTTGCCAATAGGGACGCAGCCTTCTACGAGAGGGGTACAATGGAGTTGGCAACTCGTTGGCAACAAGTTTATGAACAAAACGGCGTATATTTGACTTATAACATAACGAACTTTTTACTTGACCTAATATTTATATGAGAAATTCGATGGGAAGTAAAATAGCGGTTGTTATTAACAATATAAGAGAAAAACATAAGATGATGATTGAACCGATGCGAAACAAAATAACTTGAGCAAGAATCTTTGTATCGGGGCAAAAAGAAATGCCATACAAAATGACTGATCTAAATCAAGTTCTTGTATAAAAAACTTTTTTATGTGAACAGATAACTTCATGAAATTTGACATAAACTATTGTCCACGGCAACGCTACAATCTCCAAACATATTGTTCGAATCGGACTACTATGGCATATATGTAGCTGTCATATAAACTGACCGATTAAAATCAAGTTCTTGTATGGAAAACTTTTTGATTTGATAAACTATATTTAGTATAGATATCCGAACATAATGTTCAGATCGGACCAATATAACTACCATAAAACTGCCTTTATGCCTTTTTATACTATAAGAAATACACCTGTGTAGGGTAAGATATGTAAGTTTCGGTGCAGCCAAAGTTGCCGTTTTTTCTTGACATAATACATTTACAGTCTTGATCATAATGTTTTAAACATATCTTTTAATGAAATCATGAGTATTTTGAATATATGAAAAACAAAAATGCTTACAATTATAGTATTGATACTATAGTACCCCTTAATAATATAATCAATAATATAAATTCTTACCCCTTACTTGTAATATGGTACAAAACTATTTACAAATTTAAAAGAGGACTACTCTCACGGATGCAACGGTTCGCAAAATTTTTAATTTTTGAAGATAAAATACTTATACATATCAGTCGTGATGTGAAAGTTTCATAATTAATGATATCATTCCTTAATTGAAATAATAATTTTTGTCAAAACGAACACACATTATAATAAAATAAAACAAAATAAACTAAATACCTGCTTTTGTCTATGGTGAATAATTTTGCTGGTGAAAAATTCCCTTCAAGAGAAGCTTGTGAAAATGAACTTTAACAATTTTTTGCCAAAATGGTAACTGGCAACAAGTAAAAGTGTTTGCCAGATGTTTTTCCATATTTAGGACTCGATTGGCGAGGCGTATGGGGTATACAATGTATTACAATAATATTATAAAGCACTGATTAACTGATTAGACATTCGTCTTTAGAATGTCTAACAAGTATAGTCTACAATTAAATTTAAAATATAGATTGCGACCGTTTTTTTATTGTCAAAGGGTAAAGAATATCTAATATATTTGAACCAAACATTCAGAGATTCTATATATAATTGTTAGAAATTATTAATGAAAAATGAATAAAATAAAATAAGGTAAAAAATTATCCAAATAATAGCCGCAATTTTCACATAACACTTCTTATTTAAGCCAGTTTTAATATTATAGTATATTAAATTTTTTCACTCTCGCAAGATGTTGCTACAGAGTATAATAATTTGGTTGACTTAACGGTTGTTTATATCACATAAAACTTATCGAGATAGATATAGGCTTTGGGATTACCAGGATGACGAGACGAGTGGAAATCCGGGTGATTGTATGTACGTCCGTCCGTCAATGCAAGCTGTATCTTGAGTAAAAAATAAGACATCGTCATGAAACACATACGTGTTTTTTGTCAAATTGAAAGGACGACCATTGCCACGCCTACAAAATTCCATTAAGAGAAAACCTATGAAGCGCTATAACCAAGCTTCAAATTAAGATATAAAACTAGTTCGGTACAAGGGATAGCAGAAGTGATGTGCACCTGTGGGTTTTTGAAATTTGAAAGGGGGCCCTAGCTCCCAAAACCCGAAACTATGCCAAACCAAACAAGAAATGTGAAAATGCGTGAAATCGGAACTATGTTGAAAACTTACTCATTAAGTAAATACGTCAAAAGAATTAAGTTTCATATCCTTTTTGGCACGAAATATAGCTTCATAAGAGCCCGTGACAAAATTGGAAAATGACACCGCCAATCTGACATAAACCACGGACTATAACCGAAAATATCGGTCAATCTTTGAAATATCTTATTTAATCTCGGAGAGATATTTCCCTGATAATAGTATGCCTGCCTGTCCCAATCGGGTCTATACTTCCCTTGGCCCTTATATTCCTAATATTTGTATAAAGATTTTCGAACTCCCAGTCGACTTTATATTGGACATATATCAGTCAATATGGGAGTTATCTTAATCAAATTCATAGAGAATCGCTTTCTAAGTGTATAATTGTGTGTAATGATGTGTCGTAATGCCAAAAATGGATAAAATCGTCTCAATACTATCCCTAGCTCCCATATACCTAATATACAATATATAGAATATAGAAACATGCTGTATACTTATTGTATAACGAACAAGTAAGTAAGTTCTAAGTTCGGGTGTAGGTAGGGTGAACATTTTATACTCTCGCAACTTGCAAGGGTCAAGGCCCATTTATTTATTTTATTATATGAATTTCAATTATATATCTTACACATTGACCGATATTTTCCGTAAAAAGTCTACTATAGGATCTGGGGTCCACATATTCAGTACCTCGAGACTTGAACAGTTTTGGTTCGATTTAGACAATTGTTACTTGATTTGCATAGTAGAAAGCGAGAGAATCAGATGGAATTTAAAATGGTGTTATACAAGTATGGGAAATAGGCTTAGTTGTAATTTGACTTCACCCATTTTCGCACTATAACATACAAATATGAGAAGAATGTCATATACCGAATTTGGTTGAAATCGGTTAAGCAGATCCTAAGATATGGGTTTTCACCTAAAAAATGGGCGGTGTCCACTGTGTAATTTTGAACGCCGTTCCTATAAAGTCATCTTATAGCATCCCAGAGATACAATTTAATGTCATTGGCGTGTTTAGCGCTTGATTTATCGCACTTTTACAAGTAGTTTTTAACAGTACCGTTATATGGAGAGTGGGCGGGGTTCTCACCCGATTTCACACTGTCGATAGAGGTGCTAAAAGCGTTCGTAATCAGTGAATTTTGTTTTTATAGTTTGAGCGGGTTAGGAGGTATGCACATTAAACCTTTTAAGGGGTGGGACCACGCTCACTTTTCTTTAGTTTTTCAAACTGCAGATGCCCCTCCTTAAATTGATCCTATATACCAAATAACACTCTTGTATCTTATTGTGGAGCATAGTTATGGCGATTTATTTGGTTTTGATTGATGGCGTTTTGTGGGCGTGGTAGTGGTCCGATTACGTCCATTTGCAATACCATTTGACCTACGGTGGTTTCATAAAGATATCTAAATTTTTACTCAAGTTACAACTTGCACGGACGAACGGACA